CACCTCTGTGCCTTTGCATACTCTGTTCCCCCTGCCTAGAGCACTCTTTGCCCCACCGGGGCATCTCCACTTGTCCAAGTCTAATCACTTCTCCAGCATCACCCCAGGAAGCTCCTCCAGAACCCCAGAACTCTGTGTCGTCCCCACTGTAGGCGGGCAGGATGCTCTGGGCTGAACCCTCGTGGACACAGCACAATCGGACCCACTGAGTCTTCCAAGCACACGCACGTGATCCTTCACCAGAACAGCTTCATGCTAGAGATGGTTTTGTAGCTTGTTTTCTGCCCTTTGCAATAAATCAGAAACCTCTCTTTACATTTTTTTTTCTTGAAGACAGAATCTCGCCCTGTTCCCTAAGCTAGAGTGCCGTGGCATCAGCCTGGCTCACAGCAAATTCCTGGGCTCAAGCGATCCTCCTGCCTCAGCCTCCCGAGTAGCTGGGACTACAGGCATGCGCCACCATGCCCGGCTAATATTTTCTATATACTTTCAGTTGTCCAGCTAATTTTCTTTCTATTTTTAGTAGAGATGGGGTTTCACTGTTGCTCAGGCTGGTCTTGAACTCCTGAGCTCAAAGATCCACCCGTCTCGGCCTCCCAGAGTGCTAGGATTACAGGCGTGAGCCACCGCACCCAGCCAGAAACCTCTCTTTACAATAACAAACATGTCTACATTGTTTTTTTATTGTGAAATATTCCGAGCAGAAATGTATATAGAACATATGTGTACAGTTTAAAATAAGAATAAGGGGGATGGACACGCTTAAAGCTCTTACTCGAGGGGGTGGGAGGCATGGGCAATATATGTAACCTTAACACTTGTACCCCCATAATACGCTAAAATATAAAAACATAAAAAAAATAAAATAATAATAAAAAGAATGCCGGGTGCCCACTGCCAGGTTAATGAACAAATGTTACCAGTGTCCCAGGACCCCCAGTGCTTTCTCCGGTGATTCCTGCTCCCACCCAGAGGGCACCTCGACCTTGACTCTCGGGTTGAACGTTCCCTTGCTCTCCTTTAGAGCTTCTCGAACCCCACCTGGGTAGGTTTCCCTGAGCGCTCACGTGGACGACGTCTGACCAGCTGAGACGGCGCACACCCGGCTGGGACAATGGCCAGACTAGAAGAAGACTCCTGGGTGGGTGGAGCCCAGCTGAGTCCCTGGGGCACAGGCTGGCCTCAGCCTCCAGGAGCACGGGCAAAAGTCCCCTCTGGGGAAGTCGGAGGGCAAGGCTGTGGGCCGGGACATCTGGCAGGGCAGCAGGAAACGGTCAGGGGCGTGGGCTGCTCCGTCCTCCTTCTTCCGTGCTCACTGCGCCCTCGGTGCAGGTCTCAGGAGCAGCGTGATGGTGGACACTGCTGCCAGGGGGCCAAGTGTCCTCAGCTGGCCCAGGCAGCAGGGCATGCCGTGTGGGGGAAAGAGGGCCTCATCAGCCTGTGACCAGGACCAGCCAAGTGCGGACAAGAGTCTGGGCCAGGCCTGCCAGGCGTCCTGTTCTTACATGGGCATCTCAGCGATGGCAGCTCTCAATACACCTCGGGTCACACTGTTCGCAGCTGGACTGGCTGCACGCCTGGCACACACATCATCCTGGGGGCTCCCTTGACCCCCAGGCCCTTGCCCCTCTCCTGGATGGAGCCTCACTTCCAAGACTGCTCATCTTCCTCCTTCTTGGTTTCCCTCTGTGTTGAGCGCGTCTCCAGGAGTTCTTGAGAAAGAGCTGGAGGCAGGTAACGTGTGTGAAATCCTGCGCTCTGCCCCACGGTTGACTGATGCTTGGCTGAGTAAGAATTTAAAGTTGGGGATCATTGCTGTCAGAAGCGAGAAGATGTGCTGCCGTCCACCGCCATCGTGGGTGAGCAGGCTAGACACCCTCTGTTTCCGGAGCTTTCGTGTGGAACCCATTTCATTCTTAAAATCTGGAATTCCTGGAAGATTTTGAGATTTTTCTTTTTTTTCTTTTTTCAGACTCCATCCCGTTCCTTTTTTAAGATTTTTGGCTCAGAGTTCTGAAATTTCACACTGATAGTCCTCTGTGTGGGTCTAATTTCAACCATTGCGCCAGCACTCACCAGGCCCTTTCCATCTGGAAACTCATATTCTTTATTTGTCAGAAATGTAATTATTTCTTTAATTTCCTTCCCTCCACTTTCTTCCTTCTCTTTCTGGAACTCCTATTACTCAGCTCCAGGACTTCCTGGGCAATTTCCTGTTCCTGGTTTGTGGGTACCTCTTGCCTCTTAAAGATTTCAATGACAATTATTTTCTTCTCTCTGCAGTCTCTGAATGCTATACATTGCTTTTCCCCCTGTTTATAAGAGGCTTTCCTCAGATGCTTGGCAACCTTAGGCTGGCTGCTCGTGATTGAAGAAATGAACAAAATAAGCCCATGGATGGTACTTGTTGGTTTAGTTTCACTATAAGGTGACCTTGGTGGGCCAAGTTCTGGAAACTTCCTGGACTGTCAATATCTTCAGGATTTTCCTTTTGGGCTGGGCAGGTCCCTCCAGTCCCTTGCCTGGAGGGTAAGGGTCTGGCTCCAGGTCTCCGGGAGCTCGCTTGGGGAGGGCTCTGGAGGAGATCTCTGCATTCAGCATTCAGTGTCCACCTGTTTTGGCAGACGACCCACATTCGCTGCTGTCCTTGCCATGCCCAGTCCAGAGATTCTTTGTCCCTTTCCAGAGCTAAATCCAAGATAGTTCCCAGAGTGGGGGAGGGGCATCACCCAGTGGCTGGGGAGAGAGGGCAGATTTGAAAATCTGTTCTCAAAGACACCTTCAAATAGTCCTCTGGTTTTAGTCTTCTTTCACCCTTAGATCTAGAAGCAGCTTCTGATGTCAGTTCTCAAGATTTTTTTTTTTTAAAGCCAGTCAAGTGAAGCAGTGGGAGTGGAGAAGGAAGAAAGAAATCTATAACTGGTTGTCATTAAGTTTTTAAGCTTTTGAGGATTCTGTTGCATGACTAAGGGTTGGTTCTCAGCTTTCCCCACTGCTGGGAGGGATTTAGCTGTCTGAGATCAACTAAGTCAGGTAACATCAACCCACCTGCTTTCCAGCTTTCAGATTCTGTTGCTGCAGTCCCCTTTCCTGTTCTTCCTGTCCTTGTGGATTTGTGTCTTTAAAATATCCCTTTGCTGTGGATTTATGGGCTTCGAGAGACAGTGTGTGCTCTATGCATGTCTTAACCTGAAAACCTCCTCCATATCTTTTATGACCATAGCACTGTATAGATTTGCCATATTTCATTTAGCTAATCCTCTCTAGCTGAACATACAGCTTATCTCTGCTCTTTCCTTGTAAAGCAGGGCTGCCATGGACATCTTGAGAGTTAGGCCTTTGCTTATTTGATTCTTTTCTGAGGACAAACTCAGTGAAGTACATTCGCTGATGTTGCTGTGGACTGAATGTTGTGTCCCCCTCAAAATTCATGTGTTGGAGCCTAATCCCCAGTGTGATGGTATTGAGAGATGGGGTCTTTGGGAGGTGATTAAGTCATGAGGGTGGAGCCTTCATGAATAGTATTAATAGCCTTATAAAAAGAGGCAGAAACATGGGATCTCTTTCTGCCTGCTGTCTACCATGTGAGGATACAACAAGAAGACAGCCATCTGCAAACCAGGAAGCAGGCTGTCACCAGACACTGGATCTGCAGGTGTCTTGATCTTGGACTTCCCAGCCTCCAGAACTATGAGAAATACATTTCTGTTGTTTAAGTTCCCCAGTCTATGGTATTCTGTTATAGCAGCCCAAACTAAGACTACCTAGATTTTCTCATTATTAAGTGTGTGTGTGTGTGTGTGTGTGTGTGTGTGTGTGTGTGTGTTGGCTCCTTAGAAAAGGCTGAAAAGAAATAAGGGAGTAGAGGGGGAGAAGGGAGGTTGGACTGAGGTCTAAGTTAAACTCTCTGACTTAGCCTCACACCAGCACTCAGATGCTGGTGTGAAAATTGCCAGTACCAACATCGAGTCACTTATGTCAAACTCTAAAATGGTATCAGGGGAAACCTTGAAAAAGCAGCCCTCATGCAAACATGCCTGTAAGTAGAATTTATCATAAGCCTTACACTAGACTTGCATCAGGACTTGTCACAAGAAATTGCTCAAGTCAAAAAAGCTACCTGCACAAGGACATTTGCCTGGCAATGGCAGATAAGCTCACACCAACTTCTGGAACAAACCCCTGTAAACTTTGGTCTTTGTAACTTTAGTTTCAAAACAGCGTCAGTGGACTTCTCTTTAAAAGAGTCCGCTTCTCCATCCTGACCCCCTGCCCACTTAGATACCCTATGGCCTGCCACAGCTTGCATTGCGGACTGCAATCCCCCCATTCCCAAATACAATCATTTGTTGAGGATAGCCTGAGTTTTTTAGGTTGACAGTAGATAACCCCAATTTCCAATCCCCAGTCTGTCACTAATCACCTGTCATTCAATCTTTGACCCCTTGTCTGCTCATCTGTAAGTTGAGGATAATAGCACCTACCCATCACACTTTTGCCATGAGGAATTAAATAAGCTAATATCTGAAACATACCCAGGGCTTTATTGAGTGGTATAGAGATTTACTGGGTATTTGTTGTGCCAGGCACCGTGCCTGGTTTGTAGGAAACATTATAGAAGACAGCTGTTATCTTGCTTAGTGCTGGGAGAATCATTTGCTAAAGAGAATTTGGAAGTCTCAAGTACTCTTGCATGTGCTAGGTAGAAAGAGTAAATATTACATTGCTTTGCATTACTTATTCCATAAATATCGGATGGGGGCTCGCTGTGCTGTAGTGTCGTGTTCTATTCTTGGCTGTGGAGGTTTAAGGAAGCCACGGTTCATCTAGGCACCCGCACACAGCCGCGCAGCGTCTCAAGCCTAGGCGGAACAGTAACCTCGGAACCTTTCTTTCCGCTCCCGGGTGCCACGGCAGAAATGCGTCAAGGACTACGCAGCACCGCGCGCCGTAATCGGGGCTCGGTCGCCGCGTAACGCGCGGAAGGCGGGTGTTTCAGCATGAGCTTACGGGTCGCGCGGGCCCCGTGGCCTGGGGCTTGGCGCCAGCTGCCGCCGCCGCGCCTCGAGCTTCCCGGGCTCCGTCCGGCGCCGAGGGCGTGGCGGAGCTGCTGCGAGGAGCGACGCAGGCGGAGGAGGGCCCGGCGGCGGAGACGCGCGGCGCCGGGCCATGCTCGGTGCTGCTCTCCGGCCAGGCAGCCAGCTGTGGGCATGGGCCGCGGTCTGCTCGCCTACCCGCGCGTCCGAGAGCTCTACGCCGCCGCCCGCCTCGTCTGGGCTACGACCTGCTGGAGCTGAGCCTGCACGGGCCGCAGAGGCCTGGACCGCACCGCGCACTGCCAGCCCGCTATCTTCGTGGTTCGCTGGCCGCGGTCGAGAAACTCCATCACTGCAGCCAGCGGTGAGGCCGAAGCCCGTGGCAGGCCGGGCCCGCCTGGGCTCCACGTCTGACTCATTTGACAGTATTACCGAGTTCCCACAATGTGCCAGGGAGTATTCTAGGCGCCGTGAACAAGACAGGCAGATCCTCGCCTAAGGAGCTTGCATCTTAGAGGAGACAGATAATAAACAATACTGTATCATTATGGAAATTCCATAGTGTGTTAAAGATGATAAATGTTACAGAAAGAAAGAGCAGATTAAGGAGATGGGAGTGGAGGCTGAGTCGTGATTTTAAATGATCCTTAATCATTTAATTAACTACTAGATGATTTTAAAAGGATTAAAGCTCATCTTTAAATGAGGATCATTAAGAATGACATGAGAATGTCACTTCACTTGAAGGTGGTGAAATTGAATTACTGTTAATTTGAATAATATCAAGACAATAAATGTATTTGAGATCCTTTACCCCATTTCATCTTCACAACCACTTGTGAGTAAATACTGTTATTTATGAATGAGGAAAGGAAATTGGGATATTAGAGGAGTTAGTTAAGTGGTTTTGTTGAGTCGTGATAATAAATCATTACAGTGCTTAGCCTGGCCATGTCTGCCCTAAGCACTTTATGGATGTTATCTTCACGGAATGCAACAGCCTCTTGAGATGGCCCCTGCTTGTCCCTCATTTCACACATGAGATAATGAGTTCTCAGAGCGTTAAGAACTCAGCTAAGAATTCTAGTCTCTGACTCCAAAGTCATGTTCTTGACTTCTATCTTAACTTCACCACCTATGGGTGAGATGCCACTGTAGGGCCAAGGCAAGGAATCCAGAGCCCTGGGTTGGAGTCAGCTGACTACGGAGTTGCTGGGCTTGAACTCTTCTTACCAGGAAGTTCTCCTCAATAGGGGCTGGACTCAGAATCATCAAGGCCACTTCTGTGTCTCTTCAGCTGGAGCACAGGCCAGTGGAACCTGCTCACTGAGGCTGAACACCCTGCAAGCTCAGTGCAAGTGCCCCGGAAGTGAGCTTCCCAAGAAAATCTGGCCCTCATGTTCTCATCTGTCACTGCAGGTATTGAGAACTGTGTTGCTCGCTGCTGATTAGTGTGGGAGATTTGCAGCCCCTAGTTTTGCCGGAGCCATGAATTTCTGAAGGTACACAGGAAGGAGTTTGGTTTTGTGCAGGGTGTGGTCTGCTGGGCTCAGGGGGCAAAAGGAATGCAAAATGATATTGGAGCAGGATGTGGCGCACAGGCTCACACCTTAACTCCCATCATGTGAGAAAGCTGTGGCAGGAGGATCACTTGAGACCAGCCTGGGCAACAGCAATACCCATCTCTACAAAACAATTTTTAAACATTAGCCAGACATTGTGGTGCACACCTGTATCCTAGGGAGGCTAAGGCAGGAGGATCATTTGATCCAGGGTTCAAGGCTGTAGTAAGCTATGATCATCCACTGCACTCCCGTAGCCATAGAGTAAGACTCTCTCCTTAAAAAATTTTTTATGAAATGACCTACTCAGGGGTGATAAAGAAGGGACAACATGGATAGGCCGACATGGATCTTGAGACCAGGACTTCACCATGATTCCCTTTTAAGCCTGATTCATTATGGGTGTCCCTTTCTCTTTTTATTTTTGAGACAGGGACTCACTGTTGCCCAGCTGGAGTGCAGTGGTGTCATCATAGCTCACTGTGTCTTTTTTTTTTTGAGACAGAGTCTCACTTGTTGCCCAGGCTAGAGTGAGTGCTGTGCATCAGCCCTAGCTCACAGCAACCTCAAACTCCTGAGCTCAAGCAATCCTCTGCCTCAGTCTCCCGAGTAGCTGGGACTACAGGCATGCGCCACCATGCTAGCTAATTTATATATAATTATAATATATAAGTTGGCCAGTGGTTTCTTTCTATTTATCGTAGAGATGGCGTCTCGCTCTTGCTCAGGCTGGTTTCGAACTCCTGACCTCGAGCAGTCCACCCGCCTTGGCCTCACAGAGTGCTAGGATTACAGGCTCACTGTAGTCTTGAACTCCTGGGCTCAAGCGATCTTCCTGCCCAGTCTCCCCAGAAGCTAGAAGGGACCAGAGGCACACACCATCAGGCCCAGCTAATTTTTAAATTTTCTGTAGAGACAGGATCTCTGTTATGTTGCCCAGGCTGGTCTTGAACTCCTGGTCTCAGATATCCTTCTGCTTTGGCCTCCCAAAGTGCTAGGATTGCAGGCGTGAGCGGTGCCTGGCTTCCCTTCTCTTTATAATTTCATGAACTCTGCTTGTTTGACTATCTTCTCCACTACCCTGTGCTATCACCCCTCAGTGCCACCAAGCAAAAGTGGATGCTAGTAATGCCTCATTGAATAAAATGAAAAATGAATTTTTTTTTTTTTGGGAAGTAAACAGCGAAGGAAGAAAATGAATATTTGATCTTGAGCCATATCACTTTTATTTCTTAAGATTTTTGCTTATAGTTAAAACAGTTAATTTTTTTGCTTATAGTTAAATATAGGCAAGGGAATTGAATAGACATTTCTCCAAAGAAGATATTCAAATTGCCAACAAGCACATGACAAGATGGTTAACATCACTAATAATCAGGGAAATGCAGTCAGTATCACAATAAATAGCACTTCACACCCACTAGGATGGCTTTTATTAAAAAAAATAAAAAATAGTAAGTAACAATGAGTATATAAAAATAGAAACCCTCATACATTGCTTGTGGGATTGCAAAATAGTGGAGTCACTGTGGAAAACAGTTTTGCCAGTTCCTCAAACAGTTAAATATAATTACCAAATGACTCAGAAATTCTATGTATATTCCTAAGAAATTAAAGCATCCACACAGAGAAATTTGTACACAAATGTTTATAGCAGTATTATCCACAATAGCCAGAAGGTAGAAACAGCCCAAACGTTCATCATCTGATGAATGGATTAATAGATCATGGTATATCCATACAATGGAATTTTTTTTTTTTGAGACAGAGTCTCGCTTTGTTGCCCAGGCTAGAGTGAGTGCCGTGGCGTCAGCCTAGCTCACAGCAACCTCAAACTCCTGGGCTCAAGCAATCCTACTGCCTCAGCCTCCTGAGTAGCTGGGACTACAAGCATGCACCACCATGCTCGGCTGATTTTTTCTATATATATTAGTTGGCCAATTAATTTCTAGTAGAGATGGTGTCTCGCTCTTGCTCAGGCTGATTTTCCACTCCTGACCAATCCGCACCCACCTTGGCCTCCCAGAGTGCTAGGATTACAGGCATGAGCCACCTCGCCCAGCCCAATGGAATATTTTAAATGATAAGAAGGAATAAAATGGTGATAAATGCTACAACAGGGATGACCTTGAAAATATCCTAAGTGGAGCGGGGCGGGGCTTCACGCTGTAATCCTAGCACTCTGGGAGGCCGAGGCGGGCAGATTGATCGAGGTCAGGAGTGGGAAACCAGCCTGAGCAAGAATGAGACCCCCGTCCTCTAACAAGAAATGAAGTAAAGAAGCCAGACAGAAAAAGCACATATTGCAGGTTTCCTTTATATGAAATATCCAGAATAACATGCGTTCAGTCCATAAGACAACGAGCACTTAGAGTTACTAAGAGTGGAGGGAGAAGAAACGGGAGTGATTACTTAGTGATGTGGGTGTTTTAGGGTGATGAAAAGGTTTTTGAAACCAGAGAGCAAGCTGGTGGTTGCACAACATTATAATATACATGAAATATTAATACCACTGAATTATACACTTTAAATGGTTAATTATATTATGTGATTTCACTTTTTTCTTTTTAAAAAAAAGCCTTATACACAATTGAAGGAAAGGTTCATAAAAGGAAAATGTTTGCATAATTCCACATCCTAATGACAACTTGTTGTATTATTACATGTATCATTTTATCATTTTCATTGCCTATAACTGGGAATATAGCAATGTTGCAGTTTGTGTTCAGTTTTTCACTTGACAGTTCTGCAAGTTACTGCTTTAATGCCTTGCATCGGAAGGATTTCCCACATGTTCTCCTCCACTTCCCCTACTTCCTGTCACAGGCTCCTTTTTTTTTTTTTGAGTCAGGATCCACTTTGTTGCCAGGCTAGAGTGGTGCCGTGGCGTCAGCCTAACTCACAGCAACTCAAATCTGGGTCAGTGATCCTCCTGCCTCAGCACTCCAAGAGCTGGACTACAGGCAATCGCCCACCATGCCGAGCTAATTTTATATATAATATATTAAAAAGGGTGGCCAATTAATTTCTATTTATAGTAGAGACGGGTCTCACTCTTGCTCATGCTGGTTTCGAACTCCTGCCTTGAGCGATCCGCCACCTCCGACTCCCAGAGTAGGTTACAGTGTGAGCCAACGCGCCTGTCACAGGCTCTTAATGTATTTAATTCCACAATTCTTGTAAGGCAATGAAACTGGTACAAAATAAAATTGTAACGCTGAGTGCATGAAGACGTGTTAAGGAGAAAAGGTTAGGATTTTGTTCTCACACCCTCTCTTGTTCTCATTCAAACCCTGAGTGGTCTCTGATCTCTCCTTGGCTGGTCCATCTCCACTCTGCCCCAGGACAGACCCAGGCCAGGATTGGGTGTCTGTCCTATAGGCACTCTTTGTCACAGTCTTGTAGCCTGCCCCTGTCTCCTCACAACACTTGACAGCGACGGGACCACTTTCAGTTCATCTGCAGGCTGAGTCAAGTCTCCAGCTCTAAGTGGAGACAGTAACAATTTTGTAGTTTATGCTACTGAAATTCATGTACTGTGTGTAGTTTATACACCCATGTATCTGATAGTTCCTTTTTTTTTTTTTTTGAGACCCAGAGTCTCACTTTGTTGCCCAGGCTAGATGAGTGCCGTGGTTCGGCCTGGCTCACAGCAACCTCAACTCCTGGTCAAATCCTACTACTCTCAGCCTCCCGAGTGAGCTGGGACTACAACATCGTGCCACATGCCCGGCTATTTATATATATTTTAGTTGTCAATTAATTCTTTCTATTTTGGTAGAGACGGGTCTCGCTCAGCTGGTTTT